CCCCCCCCCCCTTTTTCCCCTTTCCCCCCCCCCCCCCCCCCCCCAAGAGTTTTGTCTTTCTTGCTGAAGGTACCCCGTCAATTGCAATCAAAGGTTTCGGGGAGCGGAAAGCGTCGTCACTAGTTCGCCGGCGGAGAGAAGGTCACTCTCTTTGCCCTCGAATTTCTCGGTTCTTTTGCCTGTCAGAAAAAAAGACGGGAAGGATGCGTGTAACAGCTGCCGATTCGGACGAACAAAAACAAAACGGGGAGCAACTTCTGACTGTTGGTTTTCACAACCTTGCCCTCCCTGTTGTTGGGCGTTGCCGCCTCTCCCCGAGCGGGGAGCGGGGCCACGCAGACGCATTGATTTCTTCGCGACAAGAAGGAAAAGGGCACCTGGCCTCAACCTGTCTCACGACTCTGGAGAAAAACATGCCTGATGGAAACCAGATCAGGAGCAATTTGTGTTGTTCTGTTGCTTTTACACCCGCTGTAGCGACTCGTCGTCCCCCACCAGCTACACTTTCACCAGACACTATGTACCGTCGCGAAACAATGCGCTGCCCCCCACCGTATCCACCCGGCGGGTTGAGCGCAGGCGTCCTCAACAGGAAATTATGACCCACCGCCACAGCCACAGCCGCAGCGCCAGTACATCGTAAAAAAAGCCAACAACATGGTGTGTGTGCTGAAAGCCTTCAGTGGGCTAATATAGCGGCATTTTCCACCCTTGGGCACGCCAGCCAGAGGAGGGACGGAAGAGAAACAGGATAGCTGCAGCTCCAGTGCCCCTCGGCATAGACCGAACGACCTCAATCGCACTCTCGCCCTTATAACAACACGTCACCAACTTGTTGCTAACACGAATCAGAAAAAAAAAACAGGTGTTACTGCTCTGCCGTAGCTGAGCACACAAGAGAGAACATACACAAAAAAAACGGAGCGATGACTGGCGCTACAGCCATCCACACACCGCAGCAACAACGGCGGGCGGGTAAATGGGCTAGACGCGGCAGTGGTTCTTCCAGTCAGGCAAGGATCGAACGAAAGACAGCACAACGCATTGCGGCAATCAAGGCCACAGCCGCCCGCTGTAAACGCGACAGAAACACACAGAAAGCCCGCGAACGTTGACAGAGCACGCACCGCCCCCATGACTATTAATAGCGCCACGAGCCGTCAAAAGCGTATACCGCAACGACCTGGTGGTGGGCCCAACTATTAATCAAGTGCCTTGCACACACACACACACACACTCGCACCTTTGTTGTTGCAGCCGTCGTTGACAGTCACGGACCACTCTTGACTCAACACACAACAAACAACGGACGTAACCCACCCACGTCCTGCACCGCTGCACTCTCAACCAAGCGCCGATAGTACACACCACACAACAACAACAACAAAAACAACAACAACAACAACAACAAGCACACCGAAAGAGGGAACTAAGACTCTTGTCTATGTAGCATGTAGTACACCATCCACCAGGAGGCGGAGAAACGGGCGGAGCCGGGGAAACGCTTGTCCCTCTCTGGCGAACACTCCTAGCTGCCGCTCCACACTCCACAACGCCGACACAGTGCGACCGGCCAGCCTATCAATCTCGATCCCGATAAACCGATAGGTCCGAGAGAGAGGGACAGTGCGCATAGGACCCGGCCTCATCAACCTCGATCCCGGAAAACCGATTGGTCCGAGAGAGAGAGAGAGAGAGAGAGAGAGAGAGAGAGAGAGAGACGGTACGCGTAGGGTCCAGCCATAGCAATCTCGATCCCGACAAACCGATTGGCCCGAGAGAGAGCGTTACCACCGGCTACATAGCTGCTGCTTGCTGAAGCTGCAACGACCCAGCGCAAAACAAACCGTGCGTACCACCGGTTTCAATCTGCTGATCGACGGTCCGCATGAACGTGCTGTTCTCCTATCGCCCCCTTCCCCTCCCCCTAGGTGACGAGGGACTCCGGTGAAGCGGTTCGGCCATGTCGATGTCGACGTTGACCAGGCGAATCACGCCCATTACTGTCTCGGGGAGCTCCTCGTCGCACCTGCATGTCAGTGTGTGATTCGTAGGGCTGTATCGGTAACGATATGTTCAAAAGTATCGGACCAATATATATCACATCGTATATCTATCGTGGGGGATGTCGATATTACGATATTCTGGGGGGGTTCTGTGAATGCATAAGGGGCTCCGTGAATCATTTATATAGCACACGGAGCCCCCGTACAGCACCGCACAGCACAGGTGCTGTGTGCGCAGACACTGGCAGACAGCGTCGAGCTTCTCGTGTACTTGCGCAACGTATTGGGTGTGGTCGATGAATGGAAGAAGTCTGCTGCTCGCAAGAAAAAGTTGTCAAGTAGATTTTAGATCTTACCTGCACACCTGGTTGCTGGTTTCAGTTTTTGTCGTCAGCGTCTAGAAGAGTCGGAAACCTAACGAACTTACATTTCTACATTTCTTTTTGGCTGTGGCATGCATCTTGCTTGCGAAGATCGGTTAGTACCGGAAGGTCTGCTCAGCGTGAGGCTGGGTTGCATGAGATTGTGAGATTGTGCTGGGTTTGGGTTCTGGGTTTGTTCTGTCTTTTTATTTGCGTACGATGTTTCAATGAAAGTGAGGACGGAGGCTAGAGGAAGGAGGATGGGTTGTGAAACCTGAAACCTGCTTTCTCCTTGGTTCTAGCAAGATGTTTCAGAGCAGCTTGGGCATGAATATGTTCAATGTGTACATCAAGGAAATTTCCCCAACAATATTTCTGATTTTCCACTACAAACTTCATTTTTTTTGTGTTTCGCACTCGAGTCCGGCATCATCTGAGAGGCCCAAAATCGCCCAAAAAAATAGCTCTAGTGAAGCCAAATCGCGTAAAAATACGCCTCCGGCGGGGCGCCTCCAGCGGGGCCCTCCGGGGGCGCCTCCGGCGGGGCCCCCTCAGCCGGGGGGGGCTGAGGGAGGCTCGCTTCGCTCGCCGATATCCCGATATGTTGGCGCCAACATATCGGGAATATATTATATCGTTTTATGCTACCGATACACAGCCCTAGTGATTCGTGTTCTTGTTATTAGCTTGTTATGTATTATTTTCTTAATATGACGCAATGAATCCATCCATCTATACCTACTAGAGTCTAAGATAGATTAGCAATGAATCCATTGCGTCAGCGAAGGCTACCTACCTGTATTTCCACGATTTCCCCGAGCAGCACACAGCGATTCATTGCAGTTTCGGAGTATGTGGTTGTCGTGGATAGCGATGTTCGTGGTGAATGTGGTAGCCTTTGGTGCAGGGGATACGTTTTTTCAGTAGGCGCATCAATCACCACCTATACCCTCGAGCTTGCCGGTAACCCTCGTAACTACTGTTTTGGGCGTCGGAAAAGGGAGCACGGATTGCCCTCGAAGCCAAGGGAGAAAGCAGCGGACTTGTGTGTGCGAAGTTACGCTAAACAAGAACGTCCACCAGAGGCATCGCTTGGTCAAAACGACTAGCTCCCGACTCCCCCCCCCATTGTTCCCCCCCGTCTTGGGGTGATGCATATTCTGCTACGATAGGTAGAAGACTCGTTGGCATACCTCGGTCCGCATCACTTGTACCGCTACCATCACACGTGTTGTTCGCGTTTGTGCGTGTCAAGGGGGGCGGTTTCTCAAAGGCATATTTGAGAGAGCCTAACAGGGGTGTTTCTTGACACATGCACCCCTGTCCCTTGTTCTTCTGTGTCATGTACCATGCATGCTCGCAGGGACAACGGCGCGATATGATACATGTGTCGATGTATGCCGTATCCCATATCGGTATACCTTGCTGCCGTACAAAAACCTTTTAAGGCCCTTGGATCACGGAGATGTCGTCTCTCAATCATCAACGTCACCCTTCGGGCGATGCCGAAGGATACAAAGGAGAAGCCGCAAGGGTGTTCAACGGGAAGCCAACGACACAACAGCAACACCCACAACAACAACAACGGCACAGGCAGCATCATCAACAACAACAGCACCCACAGAGGCAGCAGCAGCAACATCAACAACCACAGCAGCAACAGAGGCAGCATCAACAGCAACACCCAGAGAGGCAGCAACAGCAACATCAATTCGTAGACAGGTCCTTCACGTGAAAAGCCCACCTTCCTTCCAGGCAAATCCCGAGCTCCACCGTGAGAGCTTTCGCGTAACCCCTGCACAGCGACACTATCTTCTCGGCGATCATCGAGCTCCCAACGTCTGCGCCCCCCCCCCCAAGACCCCCGTCCGTAAGCCATTCATCATCCGACCGCGCCACGCCGCAGAAAACAGGAAGTACCGTTCCGTTTCCAGCGAAAGGCGCGACGCGTCATTGTTGAGACGCCCGTTCGCGTCAAGAGGTGTGCGAAAACGACGATAGCGGAGAAGATGAGACAGGGAAAAGCCAAAAACACAAAGAAAGGAAAGCAAGACAGGGGGGAGAAGAAGGGCGAACGTAGGGAGGAAGACAAGACATGTGAAAGGTTAAGAAGGACGTACGTTGCTATTGGGGGGGGTTTGTCTCTTCCCAGTTCCGTCTGTCCTCACATAAACTGGTCTGATATTTCAGCTGCCAACAACCTACCTGCCATAGTTTTCGGTGACGTGACCACTTGGAGCTACTCTGAACGCCGCTTACTCACAACCCGCACAATGGCAAAAGGGAATGCCACGCAGACCGCAGACTGCCCTCCCTTGTTGCGACCGCCCAGTGCAAACCTCGAGGTTTACGATGAAGCCAAGTAGACCGACCTTGACCACTCGATCGACACATACCACTTCGACACGTGGCCAGAACCAAACACGTCTTGTCGCCCCAAACCCCCCAACCCCCCCCTTCCTACAGAAGGCGGGGACCTCAAGCACACCACGGGTCGTTACAACAAAACCTTCTACGTACGGACACCTCATCTCAGAATCAGCGGGCTCACCAACGTCCGTCTCCACGTAGCCGGGCCCCCGGAAGTACCTCTGGCTGACCTTGCGCCCCAGCAGTGCGGGTTTGTTTCCCACGGCCTTGCGGACGATAAACGGCCCGGAGACCACGCTCGGTATCAGCTTGAACCTGTCCGTGTGGCAAATCGTGTGTTAGGCACACCACCACCACCACCACCACCACCACCACCACGTTTCAGGCGCCCCCGGCGAGATGAACACTGAGCACACAACTCTCCATTCTCTCAATATATGTATCTCACTCTCGTTGTTGGATGAACCTCTGCGTGTCATCGCTAAAGCACAGCAGCAGGCGCCTACACCTCACCGCTGGTTCCGGAAGTCATCCACGGGCAACAGCCCCGCGGGGTCGCTGTTGCGATCCGCGGGCGCCCCGCCCAGACCCCCTCCGCGCGACGCCGCCCCTGTCGACAACGCCTCTGCGCCAGCACCCGCAGCTCCCTCGGCCGCCGGCGGTCCGTTTCCCCCCTCAAGCCCGGCCACCCCAGCAAGGGGAAGGGGCGAAGAAGAAGAAGAAGAAGAAGAAGCATCTTCCTCCTGCCGCGGCTGTCGCTCTTCTTCTCGTGGGTGAGGCGACGGGGTTGGTGGGGGTGCGCAGGAGGACAACGGGGGCGGGGAGGCAGAAGAGGAGGAGGAAACGCTGGTGCTCGCCGCCGTCGGAGCAAGGGGCGAGGAAGAGGAGGAGGAAATAGAAATACAAGGAGGGGGAGAAGGGGAGGAAGGAGAACGGGTGCGTTCGAGCTTATTGTAGCCCGATCCGGGCACCTCAGCGTACCTGGTGACAGCAACAGCAGCAGCAGCAGCAGCACAAGGCCACGTGAACGAGGCACACATTGGGGGGGGGGGGGGGGGCAAGTGATCGGGTTCGGCCTGCGCCTCGTTCTCGCCTTGCCCCGCCCAAGCCAAGCAAACCCCGAACATCCGCCCCTGCGCAAAAATAAAAACCACGCTGCACACGTCGCACGCCTCCCTCTCTACGACAACACCACCCACCCCAAACGTCACCAATTTCAGCAAACAAAGATCCGTCACAAGCCGAGTCTAACCTCGCAAGCATCGCAAGAAACGTGTCGTGGCGAGCGCTATCGCCGCCGCCCGCGGGTACGGGGGAAGAAACCCCCTCCTCGCCGAGACCAACCCCGTCCCTCCGCTGAGTAGTCTGATCCAGGGCCAAGTACATTACGGTGGCCACGACGGGGTTGCCGGGCACCAGGATGTTGAGGATGAAGAGGAACGGGGCGGCCTCGCCCTTGTCCTCGTAGCTCTTCAGGAATGCGGACACGCGATCTCGGCACCTGCAGTTTACAGAGATACGTGGCAGTAGTGGCACCAGGAGGGGCGAGGTACACACACGACTGTTCGCGAACGTTTGGCGCAACACGGACGTAAAATGAACACGCGGGAGGGGGAGGGGCTGGAACCGCATTGGTTCCCGCCAGTGCTTGCTCCTCACAACCAGCCTTTTGGCATCGGCTAGAACCTTATTGGTTCCCAGCAGTGCTGTACTTGTACGCACTACCAGATCATAGCGCTAGAGATATCCAGCGCCTGCATCTGACTATCTACACGGTTCACACGGTCGCAAGCGAGGGAGATCAACCCCCAAAAAAGTTGCCGCAGAAAACATCACCTGCCCTTCGAAGCCACGTGGAACACTTCCCCCTCCACCGAGAAGAAGTCTACGTGAACCAGACGCATTGCCGCAGGACCCGCGGGAATCTGCGCCGATGCCGATGACAAAAACGACGACAAAAACGACGGAAGCTCGATCAACAAAAGAAAGATTCCTGTCGGAAGCAGCCAGTTAGTTGTGGCCCAACGCGCCCACCGCCCCACGTATGGCAAAACATGCGCAATGAGATTCGTAGGTGCGATTGTGTACGTACTGCCGAGTGGTGGGTTCGAAAATTTAGGCCGATGCGGGCACAACAAAGCAAACGGAGCTAGGGGACCGCTACACATGAATACGGGCCAAGAGGGCGCATGGGCTTGTTCCATCAATGGCCGAAGTCCGTCGGAGTGCGGCTCGTTTTTGAGTTGGGGGTTGTGATAGTTACTTAGCAACCACAATCTTGTGCGCCACTGAGGTCCTGACGAATCGAAACGGATTGCATGATTTCGGCAATTTTTGCACCTTGCAAGCTGCTCGCCCCCGATACAACAGCACTGCCGCAAGCCCGCAGTCAAACGGGACTGCTGGGCCAACTTGACGGAACATGCCAGCATGGGTTTCCGTCATCATGCACCAGAGGTTAACCCATCCCATGGAGTTGAGACGAGTTTTTGTAAGTGCTTGTAGCGGCATGTGTATCGACGTCAGTGTCGCCTGCTGTAGCCGTCTTTCCTTGAATACCCGAGCAGTACCGTCCCAGCAGTGCACGTATGTATCGCGCTACAGTATACAGCAGCAGTGCCAACATCAAGAAGTTAAGACCCGAAACAAATGAAGTTCCGGCTCGCCTGGAAGCTGCATGTACTACGTACAACACTGGATCCACACAAGAGGACGAGCAGCAGCGCACATCTCGAAGGAGACCAAAACTGTGTGTACCAGGTATATACCTGGCAGATAGACACACCACCGCATGTACAGATGACTCTCACCTTTTTCCTGTCCGAGATGTACTTCGGTCCCCTGACGAGGAACTGACACCCGGGGCCCCCATCCTTCCAGAACCGCCGCAACTCCGCGGGAGCGTCCGCGAAACACGTCCCTCCTCCATCCCCGACAACATCCCCTTCCCTTCTTCCCGTCTCCTCGCCTCCGGCGGCGGCGGCGGCGCCCCCCCTGTCCCCAGCCGTTTCACAGTCTGCGGCAGATGATGCCGTCGCCTCGACCGTCTGGTCGCCGCCGCTGACGGGAGCACCAAGAGCGGCAGCGGAAGGAGGAGCATCGGGAGGAGGCTTTCTTACAGCGGGGGCGCCGCTCCAGCGGCGGGCGGCGGAGAGGATGAGCGCCGCGCCGACCAGGCCGGCGAGCTGCCGCCACAGGAACCGGACGCCCAGGCCCGCCGCCACCAGCATGACAGACAGCAGCAGGTAGCGCTCCAGCGGGGTCCGAAGTTTGTTGTTGTTGCTGGCGGCAACAGGAGCAGCGGAGCTCGAAGTCGCGTCCGTTGCTGCTTGCGTTCTGGGGCGCTGCGTAGGGGCGGTGTTGTTGCTGCTGCTGCCACCCTTGTCTTTGCGTCTACCGGAGGCTTCCGGGCGAGACGCGGCGCCCGTCGAGTCGAGGCCTCGAGGCGCCGGCGAGGGCTCTACTACGCTACCGGCGTTGCTGTTATCCTTGTTGCGTCTTCGCAAGGTTAGATCCGAGCGAGACGCCGCCGCCGCCGCGCCAGTCGAGTCGAGATCTCGAGGCGCTGACGAGGGCTCCACCATCGGAGTGGGGTTGGCTCTCCACGCGAAGATAGCGCCTTCTGGGCTGATGGTAGGTGCTGCAGCGGAGAAGGTCACTGCGTAGACTCCTCTCCTTGCAGCTGCTGCTGTCGGTTGTTCTTACTCTTCCACCTGTGAGGTTCAGTTCTTCGGCTAGGTCCACCGGACTGAAGGGCACGAAAATGTTAGTCGTGAATCTTGGAACCAGAGAACGTGGCCTAGAGCATGCCCTACTCGTGCAGGGTACAGGGTGAAAGTTCGAGCTCAGTGGTGGACTTGCTGTGCTTGCTCTTGCTCTTGTCTTGTTGCAGAGTGGCGGCGGCGCTGGAGTGGGACGTCGAGTCCTGTGCCCCGGTTTTCATTCCACGGGTCCCCCCGGTTGCGCCGCGTCTCAACTTCTCAAATGTTCAACACAGCAGTAGACAACAAGCGGTCTAGACAAGCCCACCCTGCACCCACCGCGCTCCTCGTTCCCCGCCTGGGGTCTTTGTGCAGAGGTCAGATACACTCAGTGCCTCCCCTAACAGAAATGGCACCGACGACCTAGGTAGCAGCAGATTTAGCCGCTCTTTTATTCATGATCGCACAGATGCAACAACTAAAAGTACATAGATCTTTGAGTGAGATGGACCGCAACGAAGACGCACATCAAACCCTCTTCTACATCGCTTTGTAGGACTCCTCTCAAGTTGAAAAGATCTTGGCCGGAATCAAGGTGACATTTGCGGTTGATGACGGCGAAGGTGTTGCTGCCCTACACCTTTCCGTGGCGCTCAGAAGAAAACGGGAAAGTTCAATCATGGACGAAAATATTTAGCAGGCGCGCCAGTGCAAACCCCGACCCCATGTGGCGGTTGCTTCTCTGATGGCCCTACACCACCGTAGCGGTGCGCAACGCGGGGTTGCGGGAGAAAGGCTCTTCGTGCAGTGGCCTATTGGCAGCATGCATTCACCGTGGCCATCTTCATTCGATACTCACCATGGCCACCTTTGTTCGACCACGTACAGCCGTACAGCCGTATAGTCCTTCACGTCTCGGCTCCATCGGGCGGCGAGGCGTCCGCAGGGAATAATCCTCGCAGCAAATCCAGGTCGCGTTTTCTGCCACCTATACCTTTTCAGCACACGATGCAACATGGTGTGTATGGGCCGGCGATCAAAGATTTGGACGGCACGTGGTTGAAAAACACTTGACCCATAAACGTCACATACATGTGAGATGCAGCAAGTACTGCTGCTGCTTGCTGCTGAATAACCTGCGCTCGAGACGAGATCCCTGTCCTCCCCAACATCGATCTATCAAAACCGATGCTGACAGGACGTTGCCTCGACGATGAAGCACGGTACTTGACGCCGAGGGGCATCAAGAAAACCATGAGAAAAGCGCGTCGTATATGATCCGGTCAGGGTAGCAGCATTGCCTCGTAGATGGGTGGGCCATGCCTCTTGGCGATTCGACGACCACTGAAAAATGTCTGCCGCTCGCTGTGTGGGCTGTGTGACGCAGAACTTGACGGTAAGAAAAAAAGGGAAACGGCCTAAAAGGAGCAAGCACACCGTAACGCTCAGGCACAGCACGAACGACCCCTTGATATGCCCGGCACTCCAAAACAAATCCTGCTTTGTTCCAGCCTCATGCACACACACGGCATTTATTATGCTAGAGTTCGTTTGGCCCAGCTGGTTGTTGCCAAGTAGGAGAGAGAAAAACACAACGAACGAGAGACCACAACCCCTTGTGAGTAGAAAAAAACAAAAATAACACACACAAAACATGAAACCCGACGATGCATCAGCAACGCCGAGCGCTCAAATGCCGGTGCACATGCCCCCCCTACCGCCCCAAAACCCGCTCTCCTCGGTGCACCTGTGTTCCTCTTGAGCACCTCTTGAGCACCTCTTGAGCACCGGTGCTATGAAGGGCGGTCAAGGGCGCTGTGTTGGCAGAGAAGCAAGCCTGTTTATGGTTACACCTGATTTCCTTTGCATTTCCCACGTCGTTCCTACCGTGTGCGCACACTAAGCTGGTGCGCAGGGGACGCGCACCCACAATTGTGGTGCACATCATGTGGCACCGCCGTTCCCTGGCTACAATATACCGAGTCTGCGTGATACACGACGCTTTTCACCAAACGCCGAGACACAGCATACCATATCTTCAGGCAGCAGCCGTCCGTCGGGAACTACGGTGCACACCAAGGGGTAGCAAAATCAACAAAAAAAACTCGTTGTACGTTGGCCGCACCGTGGCTGGTGCATGGCACAATCACCGCATCGTCTCATTTCGGTCAAGCTGCTCTTCAGAGCTACAACCTTACATTGAGCGATGGAAAAACGCGCTCATACCCCAAGTTCAAGCTGTGCCTGCCCCCCCTCCCCCGCCCAGACACTCGAAAACCCGAGCCACGCCACCATATACTTTCTGCGTTTGCCCCCACAAACAAGGCTTATTTTGACGCATCCTATTAGCAGGCTCTCGAGCAGAGCCTTGGAGGCGATACATACACATGGGTAGATTTCGACTGGAGGGAGATACAGCTTGCAACGAAAACCTCTCGCAAGTAAAAGGGTGGCCTCGTCTGCGCGTCATTTCGCGCGCTCAACGACGTCTGTCCCCGCGGGTCAATCGCCAACAGCAGCATTGTTTCGACGATGAAAACACAAGACCTAGGTGCTCCTTCTCGCCGGCGGAAAAACAAAAATCAACCCCGGCAACCAATCGAAAGCATCGGCAAGAGGGTGGCCGCCGCCGAAAGAAAATCCCGCCTAGCCAAAAGAAGCGACAACCAACAATACTACCCCACAAAAACAGAACAACTCCCCAAAACTACGCTAATAAAAGCTGCTAGCTTGTGTGCTGGCTACACTGGTCCTGACCAAAAACAGAAGGCACGATGGTGTTACTGATTCGGTTCTTATTTCTTTGGCCCCTCGACTATCCCCGCAACGAACGTCTGGATTCGCTCGTAGGACATGAAGATGATACCCTGCCCGGGGACAACTCGTCCCAGCCGGGGCACGACCCCCTTGTACAAGCCCTTTGCGCCCTCGTCCTTGATAATCTGTTCAAATGTCGGTGTCATTTTGCCGTTTCAGGGGGGCGGGGGGCGGGGGGGGTGAGGAAGCGTCGGAGACCGTCTCCTGCACACTGGACAAGGTGAACGCAGGCTGTTTGCTCATTCGTGAACGCGGCGGGGCCAGGAGGTGCTCGCGGCGAGAAATCATACCGGATGTTCGGAGAATCTGATGCTAAAGCTTCGACGAGGGAAACAAACAAGTTGGCGATGGTGATGGAAACCTAACGGTCACGAGAGGTTGGGGCATGGCACGACTGCACGGCAAAATTCGAAGACTCCAAAGAGAGAAAAAGAGGAAGAGCGAGTACAGGAGAAGAGAGAGACGGATAGATAGAATCATAAAGATACGGATACAAACACAGAGAGAGAGAGAGCGGAGAGAGAGGAGAGAGAGAGAGAGAGAGACAGACAGACAGATGCAGGGGACTCATGACGGGCGTAGAGAGTACACGACAGGAGAAACCACAAACGACCGACCCGGGAAAAAAAAAAAAAAACGGTCTCGCACAGCACCTGTCTGAAGCAGTCGACCGTGCTCTTGTACTTGGCCGCGTCGACCCCCTGCATCCTCGTCTTCACCACGTCGAAAGGGTTGTTTCCCAGCGTGCTGAAGCAGCCGGCGGACATGCCGCCCAAGAGGTTCTCGATGTCAGACAGCGGTCGCGCTCCGTCGTCGCTGACGATCCCCTTGTACTTGTTGAACCACATGAATCGGAGCCCCTATGTTGCACCGACGAAGGGAGGGGGCGTCGAGGGTGGCGTGGACGGAGAAAAATGTCAGGATTGTAGATGTTGATTAAGCCGCTCAAAGAAAAACCCTCTCGGCACAAAAAAAAAAAACTCCGCAGCGGCCCGAGATGTTAAAAAACATTAACATTCACCCCCATTTGTTGACTAAAAAAAACACAACTCTTGCATGATGAACACGGCACGTGAGCTCATGCGGCCCGTGGGCAACAGCAAGCGGTGAGCGGGGCATATTGCTTGCCAACCAGACAGTGAGTGGGGCGTGAGGTGCCATTCCCTCCCATGAGCGTGCGCAACAGCGCAAGTATTCCAAGCAGGGTTTGAGAGTTGGGCCGACCAGAAGCGGGGACAGCGTGAAAGGTCACAGCAGTCCCGTACAACTCATCCGTCACAATCGTGGAACACGCCCATCTAAGTCCGAAACATGCACCGATAAGGAGAAGGAAAATACAACAACACCATAACGACATCAGCATCGAGGACAACCGCAACAACACCAACCGCACTACCCCTGCCTTCCGCCTAAACTCCCGCACCCCTCCACAAGGCACCAACCGACCCAAACACACCCAAAACACGCACGCACCTGGTTGGAGCCCTGCTTGGCGATGGTAGCCCACACACCCTGGTACAGTCCGGCGGGCCCCTCGTTCTTGAGGATGGTCCTGACCCCCTGCATGAAGGGGGCGTTGGTCTGGATCGCCTTCGTCTTTACGGTCTCGATGGGCGTCACCGCGAAGATGGCCTCCAGCACCCCCGCCCCGAAGCCCGCCAGGAACTGCTCCCCGGAGGAGAGCTTCTTGTTCTCCTTGCCCGCGAGGATCTGCGCGGCGGTCGTTGTCGTCGTCGTCATCGTGACACAGGTTGTCGGTGCACCACCGGGCGTGAAAAACACGGCAACGACGCGGGAACCGCCGTACGTACGGGTGGGAGCACAAGACAACATGGTTTCGAGTTTAAACCATGGTACTAAAATGATGCAACTGGACCCTTTTTGGCTGAGCTCCCTGAGGTTTTCCTCGCTCAACCTCCAGCACCTGACAGGCTAGCGGTAAATGTTGATTCCGCCAACAAATCGACGCTCTTTTGGCCTTGCAAGGTGAGACAAAAATTAAGGCGGAGTACTCTTGAATGTTGGCGCTGGACCTGCTGTTCGGAAGTCATGAAGAGCCCGTCTTACGCTCGCCAGAATCTGGACGCTGGTCCGGTTGACACACTGCAGAACATGAAAACCGCCAAAGATAACGGCTTCCAAGAGGAGGACGCGAATATATATATACATATGTACATAAGTCGCGTTTTCCCCTTGACCAGTCCCCACCACAACCATCCGGTAAATACACCCCGACGGCGCCCGGCTGCCGTCGCGTCTGCGGCGCTAAACGTGACGAGGGTATTGCTCAACGATGACCGCAGCCGACGCGCGTCGCAAAGAGCGGGGAAGAGGCTAACTAACAAACCTTCTTGAGCTCCGAGTTACCCCCGAACCGGATGCCGGCCTTGGGCATCGAGCCCAGGAGGGTCGGCGCCAGCCCTCGGTAGAGCGAGAAGAACCCCGTTGTCCGCACGGTGTACGTGAGCCCGCTCACCACCCCGGTGTACTTGGGCTTCTGGCCCGCCGGCAGCTTGTCCTGTGGACACGAGCCGCGTCATGAGGGCCGCGAGAGGGAAGGGCAAAAGGAGGTGGTACGGAGTGTTCGTGGGTGTCCGGATATTTGTTCGTTGGACATGCCTGCCGCACGTTTTTGTGCTGCGCAGATGGTAGAGACTACTATAATAGTGCCATGATGATACACGGGGGTCCTTGTTGATTGCTGTGCTGGCACGCAAGCACTCCCTCTTGACGCCGCGCCCTGGTACGGGCATTGTCTCCTCTCCTCAAGTTAATACAGCACTCAAACAAGTCTACCGATATAAGAAACACGTTGATGTTTGTTATTGTTGTTGTTGTTGGTAGTGGTAGTGGTGTTGGTATCGTGTGGGGCGGCGAGGCAAGGAAGACAAACGAAATAGAGACGGCGTCGAAAACAACGTCGGCGCTAACCGCAAGGGGCAGGAATGCGGGGATACTGCAACACAATCACAGGCGTACGACACCCCCCCCCTCCCTTCCGTCCTAGTGCTGAAACACCGAGTCACCCGCGCATCTACAGCAAACACAAGGACAACTCCGCAGGGTCATCGTACTCACCGCAAGCTGGAGCTGGGTCTGTTGCAGTAGGATAGCCCAGTACACCAGGAGCAGTGACACCGAGCCACGCAACGCGAGCAGGAGCAGCAGCAGCAGGAGGAGAAGCAGCAGCAGCAGCAGGAAGAGAAGCAGCAGCACATCAGCCCAAGCCAACCATGAAGCATAAAAAAAAACGCGCGATTCGATCGATCCCAGCAACAAGATGAGGACGTGTTGGCACGGGCGGAAGCAGGATGTGTCTTGCGAATTTAGCGGGCATGCGCCGCAACGCTCGGACAAAGGTAAATACACAATTTTGCCTACTTGGGAAGGAAAATTGGTACAGTCGAAGTATATGTTAGTCAAGGTAGCGTGGAAGGCACGTGGGCAAGCCGAGAGACACGGGATACTCTGTACGACCACGCATCATCCTGCTGTTATACGGCAGCAGCTATCGCTAGTATGCATAGCACCACCATCAAGTCGGACTGATGGGCTGATTGTCACTTTGTTCCTCCGCCATCCCAAATAAGCCAACCATGCGGAGTAATTCATCCGTCCGCAGGTGTCTGTGTAGCTTTCACCGCCGCCGCTTCATTGCAAGCGGCATTACAAATCTCCCTCCAGAAGTTACGTCTACAGTAGGCCATTAGCACAACTGCACTCGGTAGGAGCAAAACCTGCACACACCGTGCAGGAGCGGTCCTCAAACAATGCTTTTTTACTCTGTCCTGAGCATACATGCGAATAAACAACTTTCACTTAGCTTGTATGCATAGTTCTCCGTGTACGGTGGTGGTGCAATGCTTACATAACATCACAGCATGTACGATACCGGTGCACTATGTTTATCTACGCTGTACAGATGCACTTTCGACATTTTAAAGCCTTGGTCTACCTACTGCTGCTGTAGTTTTTTATGTCGCAGTACGTGTGTGTGTGCTGCCACACAGGTAAACGCGAGCAAACTTCGAACAAGGAAAAAAAAAAATGACCGATTGTGTCGTTCTTTCCTCTACATATGCTGGAACCCGTGCATCGCGCTCGAACGCCACAGCAGCAGCAGCAGTATAAAGTTGGGCACAAATCGCTGGTTGCTGCCTCGAAACGCTTCGGCGGTGCGCACTGCTGTACAAGTTCGAGGATTATTCAAATGCAATTTCTTTCGGGCAAAAACGAAGATAATCCAACAAGAAGCATTACAAGTAATATTAACCGAACGAGTCGTCGATCACTGATGTCTGCCTGCGCACACGTCCGTTTATGCACAAAAATGCTGCGCCCGGTGTATGTTGTCGTTACAAAACAGATGACAGACCATGGTGATGCTATTACAGTGTATATATGTGATGTTTACATGTAACGAGTCGACAACCACAACACCACACCAACACGTTTTTTTCTCAGCAATTTGCTATCTGGACTACTACTCGTGCAAGTGGTCATCACTTGCCTTGACGTATTCAAGCGGCCACACACACATGGCTTCCACGGCTCCGGCGATGCATCCCGAAGTCAGGGACACCACCGGGTTCGAGCTTTTCTTCGACATGTTGTCTCGGGCTGCTTCTAGTTAGCTTCGGGAACAACGCGCCTCCTGGAATATATGCAGCACGCAATACGAACTTCGGGTGTCACCTTGGTGCGTGACGGATGGATGATGCTGGATATGCACACAATACAGAACCTGGGTTGGTACAGCAGGGACATGGCAGGAACCCAAGCATGCGGGGCAGGACAGGCTAGGTTGCAGCAACTCGGCATCGACAGGGAGCGCTAAGCTGCTGCTGCTGTTGATGCTGGCTTGCCGACGGCGACACCTTTTACACACACCGGAACGCCGCACACATACTTGTACACGCCGCAAGGCCATGTATGCACCGGACACAGCACACCACTTCTCTGGTATCTTGTCGTGGTGACGAGAACTCTGGCGCACTACTCACCCTCTTCAGAGCCCTGGACAAGACCAAACCTCTCTCCCGGTGTGTTGGTGGGTGTGGTGGTCTAGCAGTGGGAATTCGATTGCAGCAGAGCTGGGTTGCAATTGTGTGATAAAAGGAGCACGGGTGACGACAAGTCACGACGTGTGGGGGTGCCGTGCATGAAAAAAAACATCACCGAGAAGACGGGGGGGTCTATAATACGAAGCGTAACTAAATACATGATCCACCCGCAATCAGATCATATCTGCCAAACCCAGCGTACGTTCTTCGCCACCCCTAGCTAGCGCTCCTAGAACCGCAGCCGACGAAGAGGCCTAACTCCTCCCAGGGACCCTTTGAGCGATCGGTCCTTCTTCGCTCATCATGATGCCACAAGGGAACGCATCTGTGGGTGTAGGTGGCGGCGTACCGTACGTAGTAGAGGTATTTACCGTATATGACACAAGATAACACACCCCCTGGACCGATTTTCAAAGCTCGATTACTCCACGACGAAGAGGATGAATAAATGAAACAATACGTTTTCGAACAGCTCTCGACGAGACGGTTCCAACGCCGCCGGTTTCGGCGCTGTGACTCTTCCTGCTGTTGAGAAATCGAGCTTTGAAAATCGGCCAAGGGGGTGTGTTATCTTGTGTCATATACGGTACCCACATTGATCTCCTCGCATCATGTCCCCCGCTTTCGAGAGGGCTGCTCTCAGGTTGTCATGATCCTGCTGAGAAAGGGAGGTGAACGTGCCGATAGTGGTTGAGGACGGTATTTTACTGCCCTGCCCTCCCTTGTAGGGCATACCTGGTTTACCGAGAGATTCCACAGGCGGACACTCTATGAAAAGCCGTGATGCTGTGAAGATTGGTGCTCATGAAGGCCGGCGCAGAGACGTCGAAGCGGAGCCTGCTTACCAGACTGGTTCCAAAGTACTGCAGTACACAGAAGAAACTGTAGTCGATCGCGTCCAACACCGATCGTCATTCGCGTCGTCTACCTCGACAAAAGGAAGGGCTCTCTCCTCATCGCGTCCGCTTGTGGTGGTGTCGCGAATCCACCGTTGTCATCTTTGCTGTTCATCTCTATCTTCCCGCGACATTCTTAATTCCCTTTTGAGTTGGGACTGCGGGGTAGATTATTAGGAAAAATAATACACACACAAAAACATTTTAGTCCAAACGTCTCACCCACCTTTCACCTGTGAGACCACATGTCCTCGTAATGTATGGGCAGGGAGGACTGCATTGTTCGTTTATGCGAGCTTCTGCTGTCGGAGTGGCACCATGGGAGCAACACAGCAGCAGCTGCAGCAGCAGGAGCCTCGGCTGGTTCGGATAAGACTACGAATACTTGTACATACAAAGGTGGCGGTGGTTCTCTCGAAGGAGCCGTCTGGTCTGTGTGAAAGGGCCCGAGTTACCGAACGCTTCTTCTGGCGCAGACCAAGAAAAAAAAAACACACACACACACACAATAAACGGCGTTTTGAAACAGAAATTACTTTTCGCCCAGCAAGTACAATGTATCAGACGTTCTTTTTCCTTGTGAGCGGCAAGAGGCGCTTGCCTTATAGACTGCACCACACCCAAAGAGGCAAATAAATGTGTATCACCACCACTACTTGTACTTGAAAAAAACATGCATATATATAATACCACCACACGTACGACTCAACCTTCGCGTGCAAAAACAGCGAGGGAGTGTGGTGGAACATTCGACGGAAGGATCGCACCAAACTTCTGCTTCAGGGCGGGCCGCAGCTTCCCAACTGGCAACTACATACCGCAACATTGCTGGGCTAAGGCACCGTGATATCGTAACACCTTCCTTTCGATAGGACTAAAAAACGTTCCGAACTTTCACGCGCGCAAAAAGTGAGTATTTAGCACGCTAGCCCGCTGGATGAAAATTACAGTAGTCCTATCAAAGGAAACAACCGTCGTTGGCCGAACTTACCTTGGAGCACAACGCAACACATCGCTATTGAGAGAGACCAACGGCTCCTAAGGAGCTACGTCAGCACAACCAGACGGGCACCACAGCAGAAGTGTTGGCTCACCCACACCCACCCAACCTAAGGTCGATTATTTTTGTGACGAGCGTTTGCCACGAGCACGTAAACCAAGACGCAGAAATATATGTTTGGGATGCCATCCATGCTTTTCGTTAAAAAAGAGTGCCCGACCGAAGGTTCACCTACCCAAGGAACACGAAAAATTATCGAAATCTCGTCCCGCGACAGCAGCAGAGAAAGCCTAGCCTAACCACACACTAGTATCACCAAGAGATCGTAGAGACGCAAGACGAAAAACAATTGCACTGCACAGCTTTACAATTATAACCGGAAAAACAACACATCGTAACGACGCACAGAGAGGCCGGCCACCCACGTGTGGAACACGAAAAAAACACCACCAAGAGAATGAAAAACCAAGGCACGCGAGGGGTATGCCGACAATGGATGAAAAGCAAGGAGAAGCAGCTTGTACGCCCTCGACTGCAACAAGACAGCAGTAGGTGAAAATGCGCCCTGCACAACTATACGTTGGCGGATCTCGGCTGGCATTCCAGCATGTACTGTAGCACGATGTCGACTAACTAACGTAAAAAGAAAAAGCATTGTACCTGCCATCCCGTGTGATGGCAAACTTATGTATATTGCTGACAGTATACGCCGCTTCCGCATGGAGCTAGCGCCACGACTACAGTTTCGAGCATCCCGCTACAGCAAGCCCGGGGCAAAGGAAAAACTCGACGCCTATCCTCTGCCAAATCCCTCCTGGACCCAGCCCACAACCAATCAGTATATGCTCCTAGCGCGCTAGCCTACGCGTGCCGCTGCTGCCACCTCTTCTCGCACCGCCGCCACCGCCGCCGCCGCCACGTGTCCCTCGTCCGCCAGCAGCGGCGGCGGACCCGGCCACCTCGCCGCCATCGGAAGCGGCGACGGCGCTGCTTCCTCCCCTGGTGTCGGGCGGGGATGCCGCCTTCCGCCCCTTCAGCTCGGAAGGGTCTCTTCCCTTGGCGTTGGCTGCCGATAAGGCGGAGAACCCGCCGTTGTCGTCGTTGTTGTTGTACTGCCGCGACCCTGCCCCGCTTCCGCCGCCGCCGGTACCGCCGCCACCGCCATTTCGACCGGCGGAGCTCTTGGAGAAGATGACCTTGGCGAAGAAGCCCTTCTTCTTGCCGTTGGCGGGCCCGCCTGTCCCCGTCGCTCCCCCGCCGCCGCCGCCGCCGCCGCCGCCGTCCGCCCGAGGGGTGAGGATCTCGGTGTTGATCAGCGCGTCTAGGGCGGCGGGCTGCAAGGGGGACACCACCGCCGCGTTGGCGTTCTTGCCCCCCCGGGAAGAAGGGTCGTTCTTGCTCCCCCCGCCAGAGGACGGGTCTACTCCGACCACCGAGAGGCCGGCCGCCGTTGCTTCAGCCACCGCGGTAGTAGTAGTTGCGGCGCCAGCGCTAGCGCTAGCGCCAGGGGCCGAAGAAGAGGTGGCGTTTCGGACGGCAGCGGCGGCGGCGGCGGTGCCGCCGCCGCCCCCGCCGCCAACAGAGGCGGCGACGGTCTTGCCGCGGTAGGAGGGGCTGCTGCGGAGGGATGAAGACTCGAGCGACGGCGACGCAGTGCCTGCTTCTTCCTGCTGGCCGTCCATTGCCGCGCTCGTGCCGCCGCTACCGCTGTCGTCTCCCTGAGGGAGGCAAGGTGAAGTGGCACCAGGGCGGGCGGGGGTGGGGCAGGGAGTTTGACGCGTGCGTCGGGCGTATTCACGATACGCCTCTTGTCGAACCGAGGTATATTAACCGGATATGACGGGGGCAACAACTGGTGGTGGTTGCTGCCGTTGTCAGCATAAGAGTGCCAAAGGTGGGAAGTGAGACCCGCACCCCCGCAGCTTCTACCCGAAGCGAGGACGTGCGACGCTTATCTGTCGCATCGCATCGCATCGCATCGCATCGCATCGCATCGCATCACATCACATCGCTTCTACAAGCTCAATCAATCTCCACACTTTGCGTTGCTTGCATCTGCATGAACAGGTTCAAGAAGGAAAAAAAAACTGACTGAGGTTATATCTCGAACGGGTAGTCTTTCCGTGAGGTTATGTTTACTTTCTGAGAAAAAGTCTTTGAATAGAAAAAGACAACGCAGTGTACCCGTTACTCACGCATCCGGCTCTTCTCACCACCGTCAACAAAATTGCCATCGGCTGTAAAAATACCCCGTATTCCCCCCCTCCGTCACCGTCAATGTACCTTTCCTCTCCCAAAGTCTGCCCCGTCCATCTGCAGCGGCGGCAGCGGCGGCGGCATCGTCGGCCGCGCCCAGAGCTTTAGCAACCCTTCGGCGCAGAGCGTCACCACCCCGGCCCTCACCACCATCACCTGGCTCAGCGGCACCTGCGCCAGGCGCTTGCAGCACAGGGGCTCCCCCCGGGGGGTCGACTGCCTGCTGAGAGCCGGGTACACGTAGCCCGCACCGCCGCCGCTCCCTCTTTCCTCGTCCTGCTTCCCTCTACCTTCTCCCTCTTCGGCGGCTTCTCCTTGCGCCGCCCCGGCGCCGCCGCCGCCCTTTCCGCGCCTGCCCCCGCCCCCGGTGCCCGCCGCCGCCGGGTTGCCGCCGGAGCTCGCCGCTCGCCTCCCCCGCGCGGCGCCCCC